ACTGATGAAGCCACTGTGTGGCGAAACGTTTCCTCAATAAAGATACCCAAGAGTTGCACATGTGTCTAATTTATCAACATGTCGGTTCTCTGAACCATTCATCTACAAACCTGTCAGACACTGCAACTTCTTGGGATCTTAATACTTGGGAATTCTTCGCTTGCCTAATTCTTGGGCACGACCTACTTCAACATTGAACAAATGTTACACGACCTATGACTGCTGCACCTCTCCTGCCAACGGTTTATAAGCTCCTTCTCAGCACATATGCCGTATTCTATTCTAGATTGATGGACTGACCACATCGACTCAAGGTTGAGGGACTGATTCTCCTCCTGTTCTTCAAGATTCTCCTTTGTATGGACTGATGAAGCCACTGTGTGGCGAAACGTTTCCTCAATAAAGATACCCAAGAGTTGCACATGTGTCTAATTTATCAAGATGTCTGGAGCAGGAGTTGGAAGATTTTCCAGACAGTGGTCAGTTCTCAAAAGTTGTTCCTTGAATTGTTGGGAAGATATATAAACAAGTTGAAAACAGCTCATCAGGGACTGGTGACTTGTTTGACTTCAGTCTATTAAGTTGTTAGAAGACCAATTTATTTTCATCCTTCCCATGATAATTATTGATTTATGGGTTTTCGTTTTTATCCTCTTCTATGAGTGAGCTACTTAAGTCCCAGTATGACTCAGTTTTTAGCAAGCCGCTAACCAGACTGAGAGTCGAAGATCTAAATGATTTTTTTTATGAGAGAGCCACAAAATTTGGTAAACACAAGCCTATCTGATGTTATCCTGACGCCAAATGACTTCGAACAGGCGATAAATGACATGCCCATGCACTCTGCCCCAGGGCCAGACTCATGGAACTCTGTTCATCAAGAACTGCAAGAAGCCCCTATCACGTACATCGTAACAATGGTTATAAATGACCATAATTTTTAAAGGGGTGGACCGGTAAGCCAGCGGAAGGCCTCGGTCAGATGACCAAAATCTTCAAAGGCGGGTCATCATCTGACTAAGACCCGCGTCAGGAAACATTTGTCCTGTTTCCTGACGAACCTTACCTAACCTAACCTATCACGTACTTTTACCATCCTATGGAGAGGGAACATGGACACGGGGGTCGTCCCACAGTTACTAAAAACAACAGACATAGCCCCACTCCACAAAGGGGGCAGTAAAGCAATAGCAAAGAACTACAGACCGATAGCACTAACATCCCATATCATAAAAATCTTTGAAAGGGTTCTAAGAAGCAAGATTGCCACCCATCTAGATACCCATCAATTACACAACCCAGGGCAACATGGGTTTAGAGCAGGTCGCTCATGTCTGTCCCAACTACTGGATCACTACGACAAGGGCCTAGATGCACTAGAAGACAAAAAGAATGCAGATGTAATATATACAGACTTTGCAAAAGCCTTCGGCAAGTGTGACCATGGCGTAATAGCGCACAAAATGCGTGCTAAAGGAATAACAGGAAAAGTTGGTAGATGGATCTATAATTTTCTCACAAACAGAACACAAAGAGTAGTAGTCAACAGAGTAAAGTCCGAGGCAGCTACGGTGAAAAGCTCTGTTCCACAAGGCACAGTACTCGCTTCCATCTTGTTTCTCATCCTCATATCTGACATAGATAAGGATGTCAGCCAAAGCACCGTGTCTTCCTTTGCAGATGACACCCGAATCTGCATGACAGTGTCTTCCATTGCAGACACTGCAAGGCTGCACGGCTCCAGGCGGACACCAACCAAATCTTTCAGTGGGCTGCAGAAAACAATATGAAGTTCAACGATGAGAAATTGCAATTACTCCGATATGGTAAACATGAGGAAATTAAAACTTCATCAGAGTACAAAACAAATTCTGGCCACAAAATACAGCGAAAAACCAACGTCAAAGACCTGGGAGTGATCATGTCGGAGGATCTCACCTTCAAAGACAATAACATTGTATCAATCGCAACTGCTAGAAAAATGACAGGATGGATAATGAGAACCTTCAAAACTAGGGATGCCAAGCCCATGATGACACTCTTCAGGTCGCTTGTTCTATCTAGGCTGGAATATTGCTGCACACTAACAGCACCTCTCAAGGCAGGTGAAACTGCTGACCTAGAAAATGTACAGAGAACCTTCACGGCGTGCATAACGGAGATAAAACACCTCAATTACTGGGAGCACTTGACGTTCCTGAAACTGTACTCTCTGGAACGCAGGCGAGAGAGATACATTATTATATACACCTGAAAATTCTTAGAGGGACTAGTACCGAACTTGCACACGAAAATCACTCACAACGAAAGCAAAAGACTCGGCAGACGATGCAACATCCCCCAATGAAAAGTAGGGGTGTCACCAGCACGTTAAGAGACAATGCAATAAGTGTCAGGGGCCCGAGACTGTTCAACTGCCTCCCAGCATACATAAGGGGGATTACCAATAGACCCCTGGCTGTCTTCAAGCAGACACTCGACAGGCACCTAAAGTCGGTACCCGACCAGCCGGGCTGTGGCTCGTACGTCGGATTGCGTGCAGCCAGCAGTAACAGCCTGGTTGATCAGGCTCTGATCCACCATGAGGCCTGGTCACAGACCGGGCCGCGGGGGCGTTGGCCCCCGGAACTCTCTCCAGGTAAACTCCAGGTATAAAAACAGGAAATAAGTTTTGAAAATAGTTTACCTGGAGAGGGTTTCGGGGGTCAACGCCCCCGCGGCCAGGTCTGAGACCAGGCCTCATGGTGGATCAGAGTCTGATCAACCAGGCTGTTACTGCTGGCCGCACGCAAGCTGACGTACGAATAACAGCCCGGTTGGTCAGGTACTGACTTTAGGAGCAAGTCCAGTGCCTTCATGAAGACAGCCAGGGGTCTATTGGTAATCCCCCTTATGTATGCTGGGAGGCAACTGAACAGTCTTGGGCCCCAGACACTTATTGTGTTGTCTCTCAGTGTACTCGTGGCACCCCTACTTTTCATCGGGGAAATGTTGCATCTCCTACCGAGTCTTTTGCTTTGATATATAGAGTGATTTTCGTGTGCAGGTTTAGTACCAATCCGTCCATGGTACACATTTCTTCGTCACTAAGTCAGGTGATCTGAGTAACAGTTAAGTGGGTCTTTCTTTTCTCTAATTTTATTCTTACATATCTAAAAGAAACTCTTAGGACTCTTTTTTTTATTACATCGGAACTTTAATTTTATATTCTGTTTTGGCTTTCCTTATTCCTGTTTTGAGTTCTCTCATATGCTTCGCCTATGTCTTTCTTTTCACCCAAGAGATGTTTGAGTCTATTGTTTATCCTTTTAGGGTCATCTATTTGTTTGATCTACATTCCTTATTAAGAATATGTGCAGTTTGGCCAGCTTGTGCAATACCTTGGAAAAATGTTATATTAGCAACCATCACCACCCTCTATCCGGTTTTCCTCACGACAGTCTCTAGTCATATTATCTCACTCTACACTTCTCAAGTAATCTCTTAGCCCCATATAATCTGCAGGAAGAAAATTGAGGACCTTAAATTTGCTATCGTTATTAAGGGAATTCCATGAAATACTGAAACTAATTAATTCGTGATCACTGTTTCTCACTGATTAAGAAAGTAATCATTGAGAGGGAGTGCAACAAACCTGCCTGACCACGAGCTACGAGTGAGAGGGGGTTCGATTTGAGAGTCCTGCTACATTGTCTCTCAGTGATTACCTTCTGTCAAGATTTTCTCCTCCTCACCCTGAAAGTATATAAGTCTCTATTCTGTTGCTTCAGCTTCACATTGTTCTAGGCTATAGAGCAAAACTCTTCTCCAGGCTGAGGGACTGACCACCTCAAAACTACGTTTTCCAGGGTGATGGACTTATTACATCGTCTTTATATTTTTACTGTTCCTGTTGCTTCTATATTCCACTGGAGAAGCCTGTTGTTTAGGAGAAACGTTTAGGAGTAAAGATACCTAACTGTTGCACATGTGTCTTATCAGCTTGTTGGTGTTGTATACCTTCATATTCACGTAGTCAATACAAACGTAAATCGTGATGAATGGTTTTGAAAACCGACAAGTTGAAGATTGAGACACTTATGCACCATATGGGAATCTTTATTTAGGAAACGTTTCGCCACACAGTGGCTTCATCAGTCCAATACAAAGCAGAGAGGTATAAGAAGAGGAGGAGATTGAGGTAATCAGTCCCTCAGCCTGGAGTCGATGTGTTCGGTCCATCAATCTTGTAGAATGTACAAGATTGATGGACTGATTCTACAAGATTGATGGACTGAACACATCGACTCCAGGCTGAGGGACTAATTACCTCAATCTCCTCCTCTTCTTGCACCTCTCTGCTTTGTATTGGACTGATGAAGCCACTGTGTGGCGAAACGTTTCCTAAACAAAGATTCCCATATGGTGCACAAACATAAATCATTTATATAACAATTTCCACATTTACAGAAGGTCCAAAAATTAGCAACAATGGTACCGGAACTAAGACACTAAAAGCTTCAAGTATAAATCACTGAGTGGGTGGGGTTTGAACCAGTGGTGAGTGAGTCTAAAGCTCACAGGCCAGCTGGCTCTAATAAGATTCAGGGGAAATAGGGGACACGATCACACTGGATACTCAGAGTGCTAGACAACTGATCACAAGAAACAGTAGCAGCAAGAATGGAGACATGTGGAATATGAACACACCGATCACCCTTAGGATTGTTAAAAATAGCTTTTATCGGCATGAGAGGTCAAAACAAAACAGGAGAATAAGACACAGTAGAAGTAGACACATTCCATAGCTTCAAAACGATACGTGGTAAATTTCAGACAAGGGCTGAAAGTCAATGGAAAAATGGAGACAGACTCTAAGAGCTTGAAGTAAAAATTCTGCAAGCTCAACTGCAAGATTAGAAGTGGTATATGATGAGAGAGAAGAAAGAGTTACACGATGTTGGAGCAAAGGGACAAGATAGTGTTATCAGCGGACATCCTCTCCCTGGCTCTTAGTATGTGCTGCCCCATTCCCACCGTGTCCACTCTCACCGTGTCCACTCTCACCAAGTCCGCCCTTCTTCCCTGCACTCTTCCCACATGTCTCTAATAGTGTCTCCGGTTCTCGTTATCTCCTGTCTCCTCGTCGCTGCGTCGTGTGTAATTCACTCGTGTTGCAGATTCTTAAATATCTATTGCGTTTTTTGTTTATTCAGGAGCAGCGTTCATGTGGATTTACGTGTGTGGGTTTGTCCTATCACAAGAGGTGTCTCCATTCTGCTGAAGTGATCTTGATTTAATAAACTAAAGCTACCCTCCCCTTTCTTGGATCAAATCTTGTTTCCTTCCGCTCCAGTGTATGACCCCTGCGAATTAATGATTATCCACGAATAATAATAATAATAATAATAATAATAATAATAATAATAATAATAATAATAATAATAATAATAATAATAATAATAGTGTGGGTTTTCGCTGTAGCTAAGTGATCAAGTTACATGTCGAGTGAGGTGTAATGTGTCGAGTGTCAGTCATGTGACTGGTGAGGTGTATTGTGTCGAGTGTCAGTCATGTTTAATGGAAGGTGCAATATATAATTGACCTAAAACTCCGTCGTATCCCCTGGGTACTGTGGCCAATGGATAATCTAGACCGGATTGTAATTATTACTGTTATTATTAATCCAGAGAGCCATTTAACAGCGATACGAGAGAGAATTTTGACATAGTCTATATTTTTTTACACAGTTAAGTCATGCAGATTGAGAACCTATCTTGATTCTGTCTATATACCAGTGGTGTACCTACACCACTGGTGTACCTACACCACTGGTGTATCCTGCTTCGAAGGTTCTTAAACAAACCCTTAAAGTATAGCAGCTACACATTATGACTTTATGTATTACCCTTTAGCAGCTATTATTTTTTTCTAAAACTTACATCTAAAACATTAAAGGTAATTTGATGTGTTTGAGGTCGTGGCCTCGCAGAATAATTGGTGAGTGTTATTAAGAGCACTTTATTGGTCTCACAGAAATACAGATGAGAGCAGCCCGTCTTAACTCCTTTCTAGTGCAGGCACTCTGAACACCGGGTGACTGTGGCACTCTGAACACCGGGTGACTGTGGCACTCTGAACACCGGGTGACTGTGGCACTCTGAACACCGGGTGACTGTGGCACTCTGAACACCGGGTGACTGTGGCACTCTGAACACCGGGTGACTGTGGCACTCTGAACACCGGGTGACTGTGGCACTATGAACACCGGGTGACTGGCACTATGAACACCGGGTGACTGTGGCACTATGAACACCGGGTGACTGTGGCACTCTCAGCACAGGTAACTGACACTCTGAACACCGGGTGACTGTGGCTGAACACCGGGTGACTGTGGCACTCTGAACACCATGTGACTGTGGCACTCTCAGCACAGGTAACTGGCACTCTGAACACCGGGTGACTGTGGCACTATCAGCGCAGGTAACTGGCACTCTGAACACCGGGTGACTGTGGCACTCTAAACACAGGCGACTGTGGCACTTTGAACACCGGGTGACTGTGGCACTTTGAACACCGGGTGACTGTGGCACTCTGAACACCGGGTGACTGTGGCACTCTGAACACCGGGTGACTGTGGCACTCTAAGCACAGATGACTGGCACTTTGAACACCGGGTGACTGTGGCACTCTCAGCACAGATGACTGGCACTCTGAACACCGGGTGACTGTGGCACTATCAGCACAGGTAACTGGCACTCTGAACACCGGGTGACTGTGGCACTATCAGCACAGGTAACTGGCACTCTGAACACCGGGTGACTGTGGCACTATCAACACAGGTAACTGGCACTCTGAATACCGGGTGACTGTGGCACTATCAACACAGGTAACTGGCACTCTGAATACCGGGTGACTGTGGTACTATCAACACAGGTAACTGGCACTCTGAATACCGGGTGACTGTGGTACTATCAACACAGGTAACTGGCACTCTGAATACCGGGTGACTGTGGCACTATCAACACAGGTAACTGGCACTCTGAATACCGGGTGACTGTGGCACAAAACTCTACACTAATAACTAATCTTAAAGTAATATGAGTAAGTATCTGGTCACTGTACAGTCACGGTGTCTGGGTTCACCTCTACTTTCCGGGTCTCGTATTATTTTCGGCCAATATTTAATTTAGCTGCTGGGTTTATTTGTTACAGAAACCCCTTAATATTTACTATACTGAGCAATGGAGGCAGCTGTAGTTTGGGAAAACAGGATCATTTTTTTTGTAGCAAAACCTAAGGTAATGTGACCCAAGATAATCTAAAATTACTCCTTTTCCAGGTTAGGTTCCATTAAGTTAAGTTAGGTTAGGTTAGGTTAGGTTAGGTTACGTTAGGTTAGGTTAGGTTAGGTTAGGCTAGGTTAGGTTAGGTTAGGCTAGGTTAGGTTAGGTTAGGTTAGGCTAGGTTAGGTTAGGTTAGGTTAGGTTAGGCTAGGTTAGGTTAGGCTAGGTTAGATTAGGTTAGGCTAGGTTAGGTTAGGTTAGGTTAGGTTAGGTTAGGCTAGGTTAGGTTAGGTTAGGTTAGGCTAGGTTAGGTTAGGTTAGGTTAGGTTAGGTTAGGCTAGGTTAGGTTAGGTTAGGTTAGGTTAGGCTAGGTTAGGTTAGGTTAGGTTAGATTAGGTTAGGTTAGCTTAGGTTAGTTGTTGTTAGGCTAGGTTAGGTTAGGCTAGGTTAGGTTTAGGTTAGAGGTAGGTAGGTTAGGCTAGGTTAGATTAGGTTAGGCTAGGTTAGGTTAGGTTAGGTTAGGTTAGGTAGGTTAGGTTAGGTTAGGTTAGGTTAGTTAGGTTAGGTTAGTAGTTATAGGTTAGGTTAGGCTTGGATTAGGTTAGGTTAGGTTAGGTGTTAGCTATAGGTTAGGTATAGGCTTTGGTTAGTGTTAGGTATAGTGTTAGGTTAGGTTAAGCTAGTAGTTAGGTAGTTATAGGTTTAGGTTATTAGTGTATTAGGTTAGGTTAGTAGTTAGGTTAGGCTAGTGCTAGGTTAGGTTAGGTTAGGTTAGTTAGGTTAGGTTAGGTTAAGTTAGGGTTAGGTTTAGGTATTAGGTTAGGTTAGGTTTGATATATAGGTTAGGTTAGGTTAGGTTAGGTTAGGCTAGGTTAGTTACTTAGGTAGTAGGTTGGTTAGGTTAGGTTTAGGTTAGTAGGTTAGGTTAGGTTATAGTTAGGTTGGTGTTAGGTTAGGTTTAGGTCTAGGTTAGGTTAGGTTAGGTTACCTATTAGTTAGGTTAGGTTGTATTAGGTTAGGTTAGGTTAGGTTGTATTAGGTTAGGTTAGGTTAGGTTAAGTTAGGTTGTATTAGGTTAGGTTAGGTTAGGTTAGGCTAGGTTAGCTTAGGTTAGGTTGTATTAGGTTAGGTTAGGTTGTATTAGGTTAGGTTAGGTTAGGTTAGGCTAGGTTAGGTTAGGTTAGGTTAGGTTAGGTTAGGTTAGGTTAGGTTAGTGTTAGGCTTAGTGATTAGCTTAGGTTAGGTTGTATTATAGGTTAGGTTAGGTTGTATTAGGTTAGGTTAGGTTAGGTTAGGCTAGTAGGTTAGCTTAGGTTATGAGTTAGGTTAGGTTTAAGGTTAGGTTAGTGTTTAGGTTAGGTTAGGGTTGTATTTAGTAGGTTAGGTTAGGTATTGTATTAGGTTAGGTTAGGTATTAGGTTGTATTAGGTTTAGGTTAGGTTTTAGGGTTGTATTAGGTTAGGTTAGGTTGTATTAGGTAGGTTATGTTAGGTTGTATTAGGTTAGGTTAGGTTAGGTTAGGTTAGGTTAGGTTAGGTTAGGTTGTATTAGGTTAGGTTAGGTTGTATTAGGTAGGTTATGTTTAGGTTGTATTAGGTTAGGTTAGGTTGTAGTTGCGTTAGGTTAGGTTAGGTTAGGTTAGGTTAGTTGGTTAGGTTAGGTTTAAGTTAGGTTAGGTTAAGTTAGGTTAGGTTGTTTAGGTATAGGTTGGGTAAAGTTAGGTTAGCTTAGTTAGGTTGTATTAGGTAGGTTATGTTAGGTTGTATTCGGTTAGGTTAGGTTGTGTTGCGTTAGGTTAGGTTAGGTTAGGTTAGGTTAGGTTGGTTAGGTTAGGTTAGAGTTAGGTTAGGTTAAGTTAGGTTAGGTTGTATTAGGTTAGGTTAGGTTAGGTAAAGTTAGGTTAGCTTAGGTTAGGTTGTATTAGGTTAGGTTATGTTAGGTTGTATTAGGTTAAGTTAGGTTGTATTAGGTTAGGTTAGGTTAGGTAAAGTTAGGTTAGCTTAGGTTAGGTTGTATTAGGTTAGGTTAGGTTGTATTAGGTTAGGTTATGTTAGGTTGTATTAGGTTAGGTTATGTTAGGTTGTATTAGGTAGGTTAGGTTGTGTTGTGTTAGGTTAGGTTAGGTTTGTTTACCGAAAAAACGTTTTTCTCATGGCTCAGAATGTCTCCACTACAAGACTCTTAGTGCCGGAGAATTTACTGTACATAATAATCCTCATTTAAGGTGAAATCTGAGCAGCTAAACTGAATATTAATCTTACTTTCATGAGGACACGCTAAAATTATCTGGGTCTTGCAGAGCCTAAGAAGTGGGAGGCAACCAGATTTGATCCAAAGTCAAGGAATGGTAGCTCTAATTTACTGGATCACAAGCCCTCCTCCATAGTCAATGTTTCATGAGTGTGTACATCTATGACTCTTAGGTTTCCTTGAAGGTGTTGATCTCCAGCTACTGGACATCTTGAGAGGGATGAGCTATGGCTCCTAGTGGTTTTAGAACTGACTGGATTTGAAATTTATGCTGCATTTTATACTATTTCCTTTGTGTGGGTTGAGGTAGAGTGGGATGGGGTTATGGAACACGGGGATACTTTCCTTGGATCATGCAGCAACTGAAACAAGTCAGTTTTTTTCAAATGAATTCGGCCAATAATTTTTTTTAGTCTGTTGTGCATTTCAGTTCCATGATGTAGTGAAAAAGCACGTGGATACATAACTCATAGGTCTTATTACAACATAAAGAGTGCGCCTCAATGCATTTACAATACTGTCTTTTGTAAAAATAAAGTTTATCTCTTACATTTTATCGATATTTTGTAAATATATCTGGTATTATATTTCCATCAATAACAATTATTCACATACCACAGAGACTCACATGTTATCTAGCTTTATATTCTTCATGCAGTGTTTATGAAAAATTGGCATGAGATTGACTGTACTATTTTTATTTGAACCTGTGTATATGGCAATCTATCAAAAGTATATTTACTGGCAATGAGGCCTAAGACTGGTCACTACTAAGACTGGAAACTACTAAGACTGGTCACTACTAAGACTGGTCACTACTAAGACTGGTAACTAAAATAACTGTTAATACACTTACCTTGCAAGTTACTCCTTAGATGTATCTGTCAATAGTCTTGTTATCACAGTGAAAGGTAAAAAAAATTCTAAAACATATATTTCAGGATGAAATATAAGTAAGGCAAGGCATTAATTAGGACGAAAAACTTGTTACGCAAGTCTTACTGGTGTGTACCGTTGTAATAACAGAGGTAAGTGAACCTCTCACTGATATCTGTATTACACGATAGTGACTGAGTGGCAATTTATTCTTCGTCGATCATCAAATAACAGTGTTCTCCAGTAAGAGCTTTCAGACCACCAAAATGGGCCTTGGGATCCTAGACAGCGTGCTTCTGGCCCTGTCAGTGGTTGCCAGCGCTTCTATCGGTCTATATTATGGCATTAAGGGGCTCAAATCAACGCCTCTAGAGTATCTGCTTGGTGGGCGGTCCATGAAGCCCTTACCGTTGGCTCTGAGCATCACTGTGGGTACTGTGTCAGCCATCACAATCATGGGCAACGCAGGAGAGATGTACGTCCACGGTACCCAGTTGTGGATTATGGACCTGGGCATCGTGCTAGGTCTTATCGGCATAGCCAAGGTCTTCATTCCCATTATGCACCCGCTACACATGATCTCCATGTACCAGGTTGGTTATACCACTTGGTTAAGCTATTGCTGTCTCAATATAAACTATATATGACTTATGAAGTAAGTTCACAGTAAACAGGTGATATCACAGTGTAAAAAAATAACCAGTGTGAAAAAAACAGTGAATTTCCAAGCGCCTTCGTGATTTCTCACGTGAGAAATCACGTAAGCGCTTGGAAATTCACCATTTTTTCATTGGTTATTTTGCATATGACTTATGTATGACTCGATCGTTATGTACGACATTTAATTTGTCATTTAAATTAAATAACAAAAATGCTTAAATAAACTTTTTTAAACAAATATCACAACTAAATTTATGTTTCCAAGGAACAGAACTCTTAATACAGTTCAGACCAATTTTACTATGAAAGGCAATGTTTCGCCACCAGTGACTGAGGAAGCCATTCATGGCGAAGCGTTTCCTCTCTCACGTGAAGATTAATGTAAACTCTAAATGTATACCCTCTCCCAGGTGTATATACAACGCTTCTCTAAGTGCAAACACATCGAGAGGAATATACTCTTCAGAATATATGTAAAATGCCGTCTTAAATGGTTGATTTATTAGCTTTAAAGCCTATCAACTACGGGAGGTTCACTAAGACTACGTCACTTATACACCAGCAATCACTGGTACTTTTAATACCTAAATTAGTGATTAAAGAAAACTTTTAGCATATATGTACTGAAAGACACAGTCTCCTCTGAGACTGTCATAGACATTTAATCACTTGCACCTTTTTTTTTTAACACACATGTCTCCCACTAAGGCAGTGTGATCCGGGAAAAGAAAAGGTTTTCTTCTTTTTATATTTAGTAATTTATGTAGAAGAGGTTATTAGCCCCTTGATTCCGACATTGTAGTAGCCTCTTACGACACGCATGTGTTACGGAGGAAGGATTCTTCTCCACTTCCTCACGTATTGCACCTGTTGTATTATATAAAATTGTTAGGAAAAATGATGTACATGATACTGTAAGCAAATCCCATTCTAACAAAAAACATGTTTATGTTCCTAGTTGTCACATTATCTTGCCACCACATAGTGCATCAAACTCAGATCGAATCCTCTTATCGTTACTATTTCAAATAAAAAAAAGCCACACACCATAAGTGTTGTTCAAAATAGTGAAAGTATCCTCTCACTAGGAATCATTAACAAACATGAGTATGTCTCCAGCCATACTACAACACCACTACAGTTAAGTCCTCCATAACACAGAATAATTCATCATACCCTAATAAGTATCATTGTGTGCAGTACGTGGAGCGGCGGTTCAAGTCCCGGTGGCTACGTCAGGCCACAGTTGTGCTACAGCTCCTGGGTGGCTACTTCTTCATCGGGTTCCTCCTCTACCCTCCCTCCATCGCTCTGAAAACCTTCACTGGTCTCTCCATCATCACCAATATCATCATCATCGGCGCCACCTGTACTCTCTACTCTGCTTTTGTGAGTCATACTTCCAATAATTTTTATAACACATAATTATACAGCATATATATGTATATATATATATATATATATATATATATATATATATATATATATATATATATATATATATATATATATATATATATAATATCCATTGTCAAGCAGTGCATATACCCTTTTCTTTCACGACGTGCAAGGGAAACAAATAATGTTGTGTCTATTGTAAGACAGTGTGAACATTATAAATTGTGTAAACCATGCACATCAATATACGTCAAGTGTACAGTGAATGCTCGCGCCTCCCCCACCCAAATCCCCGCGCTACCCGTACTGTAGAGGGCAGTTTCCTCTCCCAGCCCCTCATGCCCCACCAGATCAACACGAAGGTCACTACGTCACTACCTCCTACACGCACATGTATACACCCTCCCTACATCCACTATGATGACCGCCTACACAACTTTGCTCCACCCAGCTTGTACCCTACTCCTACAGTCTAGCCAGCTAGATGGATGTTAATCAGTAGGACGCTAGCAGCCAAGGAAATGGCGCGACAGCAATGATAATTAAGAGTTAGTTTAATATGTTTATTATGTACCCCATACCCATCCTGTGGGAGGTAGTCAAAAGATTACAGAGGTACATAATTGGTCCAGGGACTGGACTCCGAAGTTTTGATAGCTGAGCAAGTTACAGAGGTAATGAACTCGCAATTTACAAAGGTAATGAACTCACAATTTACAAAGGTAATGAACTCCAGGTAGGTCTGGTCACAATCATGACAAGTTACAAAGGTATTTACAGATTACAGAGGTACGTAATGGGTCCAGGGACTGGGCCCCCAAAGTTTTGATAGCTGAACTAGGTACAAAGGTAATGAACTCACAAGTTACAAAGGTAATGAATCCTGTAAGAATGGTTACTTACGTTTATACATGGCTACAATCATGAACAAATTATAGAGTAATGAGCAATTCACACTTCCACACCCGGTCACAACTGTAATGAGTTATTGGTGCAAATATTGATTGTTGAGTCACACACACACACACACACACACACACACACACACACACACACACACACACACACACACACACACACACACACACACACACACACACACACACTCACACACGCACACACACACACACACACCACACACACACACACACACACACACACACACACACACACGCACACACACACGCGCGCGCGCACCACACACACACACACACACACACACACACACACACACACACACACACACACACACACACACACACACACACACACGCGCACACACACACACACACACACACACACACACACACGCACTCACACACACACACACACACACACAAACACACACACACAAACACACACACACTCATACACAAACTATTAAGAGAGGCAAGTGTCGATCGTGTTTACAGGTTCTTGGCCTCAACACTAACGGTTTCCTCTGCAAACATGGTAGCTGCCCTGGTTCAGCATGTCCTCCCATGGAAAGTGATGACCCACAGATACTGAACACACTCCAGTAGACCTAATCTCCTCGGAGAATATCTTAGAAGCAATTAAAGCAACAGCTACCAGGACCCTCGCACATATTCTCAAAGCAACCCTTCCACACGCAGCTGGGAAACTCACAAACCTCTTTAAAAAAGTAAATGAAGGTTCCAGTATCCTAAACCATTAAGGCATGGCACAACTTTCTACTTTTTGGCAATGTCTGCTTAGCTGTGCTGGATAGAAGGGGCAAGAGGCTAGCCTCAACGATCATTAAATCTTTAAGGGACTTTCCCAGAGCTGTCACTCTCATTCGCCTTCCTCACCAATACAAAAATGGAAGAGGCAGACCACCTAATCATTTCACTGACTGAAAAAAATAGAGTCCAGGTGAGCAAGAAAATTGAAAAGGGCAACACAGTAAAAGCAATCAGTCTAATCACCAGTGAAGATATAGGTGCCCCCAGGGATGCTGACGCCACTCAAGCAATTAGAGAAAAGCACCCTGCCAGGGTAACCAGGGACACCAACAGTTCTAACACGCCTGTCCCTCAGGTGGAACCACTGTTTGTGCAAAATTCAGACGTCTACAAAACAATTATGTTGTTTCCGTTTGGCTCTGCTGGGGGCTACACTGTAATACGACCACAGCATTTAAAAGAAATGGTTAATCCAGTTGTCAGAGAAATTGCAGACACTGCTTTCGGAGATCATAAAGCTCGTTAACAGCTTGGCTGGAGAGATTCCTGACAAAATTATAACTTTCTTCTTTTGTGCATCACTTTGTGCCCTTCAAAAGAAGGATGGTGGAATTAGGCCAATTACCGTGAGCATCACTCTTCGCCGCCTAGTTTCCAAAGCTGCTGCTGTCTGAAGTATCCGCACAGAGGTGACCTTGTTTCTTGTCCGGATCAGAGCTTTGGTGAGATGGGTAAGGAAGAAGGATGGGTAAGGATAGAAATTTTGGAAAAGGGTGGGAGGGGGGAGAGAGGTAGGATATAAAAGGGAAGTGGCCCAACCACTTTGGTGTAATTTAAAAAGTGTACGTGAAATGATAAGATATTCTATAAGGGGTATAAGACTAACCCATCAGAGTCACATAGATATAACAGATATATAAGTACATGACTCTGAATTGGTAGTAATTATACAAGTTGCAATTTTTTTTTTTTTTTTTTTTTTTTTTTTTTGCGATTGCACAACGGATATTTATGCGACAAAGAAGGCAATAATTTTCTGGCCAGTATATAGAATTACGTGACAATGGCTTCTTACAGGTGGTGTCCAGCCATAGTAAATAGCATAATTTTTACATTAGATTGTTATATAAGATTTCTCCCTAACTGGGGGCGATGATGTTCTCAGTATACATAGAAGGGTTCTGGTGTTACCCAATCTTCTTCATCAGGGAGGTTGCTCAATATCATGGGTCGAGGGTAATCATCTTTATGAATAAAACGACGGACCCTCTGTGGGAGAGTCATTCTTTGAGTCCTGTGAGGAGGAGTATTGATGATATAATCCGTGGTATTTACCACTTGTATAGGATGTTCTCTATCTGGCATGTATAGTTCTTGCATTGTATAGAGTTGTTTCTTTTTTAGGGTGTCAAGGCGTACATTTATGGTAGTAATATCTTGTTGTATGTGTAAATCTGCCATTTTAACTCTGTCTCTCCTCCTGGTATCGGTAATGAAGCGAAGAGCTCTATTCTGGACCCTTTGTAACCGTAGCATATTGGTCCTTGTTGTTAATGACATTGGGACACAAGGGTATTCGAGTATAGGTCGTATTAACATTTTATACAGATGTTTTTTGACATGTTGAGGGGCTTGATTGAATCGAAAGAGACTGCTAAGGCCGGCTTTGGCTATGTTGATCTTTTTAGTTACATGAGATGTTGAGTGGAGCAGCCTGTCTATTTCATATCCCAAAATCTTATTAGGGTTTCTAATGGCTACAGGTGTACCTCTGATGGAGATACCCCCTTTATCTTCAATTGTTGATGCAAAACATCCTATCGTGCTAACAAGGACCATGATGATTCAACCAAACTATTTTGGTTTTGGGGTCCCTCAAGGAAGCGAAGCAGCAGTTCATGCAACAAGTGCGTATATTAACAACCTGCCTGAGAACAATGCAATAGTAAAATTAGATTTCAAGAGTGCATTTAATCTCCTGGGAAGATACATGGCAATAACAGCTGTGCGAGAACATTTCCCTGGTCTCTTCCTTTTTATTTCAGCTGGATACAGCAAGGAATCAATGCTCCTGTTTGGATGATGGGACACTGGCGGGTACAAAGGAGTCGCTTCTAGATGATCTTGACCAGATGATCTTGACTGCTGTTCCTAATGTTGAAACTAAAGACAGTAAATTGAAACAGTACGAAGGAAACTTAGAAACACTTTATAATGATTTTGAGAATTGGTTTGAGAAACTAAAAAAAGTTAAAGCCATGCTTTGAATTTCTTGTGAATCCTTTAGTGATTGATGTCATCAACGATGGATGATGTGTGATGACAGTACTGTGTTGCAGAGTGGTGTGATGACAATACTGTGTTGCAGGGTGGTGTCATAATACTGTGTTGCAGGGAGGTGTGATGATGATAATACTTTGTGTTACAGGGTGGTGTGATGACAATACTGTGTTGCAGGGTGGTGTGATGACAATACTGTGTGTTGCAGGGTGGTGTGAAGGCAGTGGTGTACTCAGACGCGTTCCAGTCACTGGTAATGGTAGCCGGTGTGCTAGCTATTGTGATCCATGGCTCAGTCAAGGCTGACGGCTTCGATAAGGTGTGGGACATCGCCTACCATAAAGGCAGGATTGAATTCTTCAAGTAAGGAATAACACCGTTGTGTACATTGGGAGGGAGGGGAATATGCAGCAAAAAAAAAAAAAAAAAAAACGAAAATTTTTGAAAAAAAAAGTTTTTTACCGAAAAATAGTTCATTAATTCTGGGAATATGTTCATGCAATCAGCTTGTTTCTATCATATTTCTAAGTATCTTTTTCAAAAAATTTAATTTTTTTTTGGTTTGGGCTGTCATCAACAGGACATGATGCCAATTTTTTTTTTTTTACTCCAGAAATTACGATTTTTATGATAGTTTCTTTCGAATTACAAAACATGGCATCTTGTCTGTCGACTCCATATTAGTGCTTAGAGTGAGAGCTGTTAGGTTCAACACCTCAAAAAGTATCCCTTCGATCCCCGTTCGGGAGGGGAAACTTTAGTTTGCACCAGTCCACGATGCATTTCTCGAACAGGGTGAAGATTAAACCAGCAAATGGGACAATCAATGACTCGTCCAAGCTAGCATTTGCAGCTATCGTCAGTGGCAGTCTGCAAGTCAAGAGTAATGCGATCCTGTTGCTAAAAGAGGCATTCGTTGTCGTCTGTACTGACGACACAGAGGCCGAGAAACTTATTACCACTACTGCTACAACCACTCTTCGAAACCGAGGATTTATTGTCATGATTTCCCCAGCTTTGAGGGCCAGGAGAACTGTGTTCCTCAAGCGACTTGACAGGCTCGTCACTACCCAGGCTACTAAAGAAATCAAGTCATCCATTGAAGCCCAGAACCCTTGGGCCAAGGTGGAATTTATTACGAAAATACCTAAAGCTTCCTCCATGCTGAAGGTCACTTTTAGTGACGTCAACATGGCAGCCAGAACTCTCGCTGTGGGACTGGCTATTCACTATTTTCACATCAATCCAGCCTACATCGAAGCAGAGAAGTTCCAGCACATCCCACAGTGTTATAACTGTTACTCATACCTTCACACCACTAAGGACTGCCCCACCAAGGACAAAAAGTTCTGCTCTACCTTCGGCCAAGGTCATGACTTCAAGACTTGCACTACCAACACTCCACCTAAATGCTTGAACTGCAAAAATGATCACCATACCCTTGCTTCCAGATGCCCAACCAGACGAGATGTACTTAAGAGACACCTAGAACAACACAAGAAAACCACTGCACAGGCTACTACATATGCTGCTGTTACTAAGCTTCAGGCTGATACCACCAAGATTCTCAAAGCCAAGCAAGCTGCTTCCACCACCACCACTACATCACCGCCAGTTCCTGCTGGCGGCTCCACTAAAATTCTTTATTGCATTATGTATGCTCGTGTACCTAATGTAGCTGAACCTGGATCATTCAACACCACCATCAACGAACTCTTCAGACTCAACAATATGCCCGGTTTTACATTCCCTGCATCTCCCACCTTCATCTGATATCATGAAGTCCACTGCAAATATTGTCAACATCGCCACTGCTCCACCACCACCACAATTTCCTCCCGACATGGAGATGGACCAATCAGAGACCACCGAGACGCCGACCACTCCCACTAATGAGAGTCCACCACTACCTGCTTCCACCACCGAGACAACGGACCAATCAGAGGTCTCGCCTCGACCGTCTCTGCCACCAGCCTAGAAAGCCAAAACAAACCCACCTTGTAAGTTTATTCAGGTATACACAAATACAGTTACATAGATTATCATACATAGCAGCATATGTGTAGAGAACCTAGGATAACCCAAGAAAGTCAGACAGAGTGACTTATTTCCATTGGGGTCCATTGTGATGCATCTCTCCACACCTCACTGCATCCTGCTTCTCCTCAACCATCTGAACCTACAGCCTCACCTCAATCTGGTGTCACTGCTCTTCCTCAACCATCCTCTCCAATTGCCCTGGAGGGTATCTGGTTCTACACGACCAGTTAATACAAGGCATCAATGTTCAGTCAAGAACTTGCCCAGCGTGTGCAGGATGGGACTGTCAGGTTCACTGGCGACGACAAGCACTTATTCACAACTGAACGCATGGTTCGAATGCTCAACAACAAAGCAGGCTACATTGACCTTTATTACATCTCCAAGAAGAAAGAGTCTTTGTGAACGGCTCCCTTGAAGACGGCTCACTCTTCTAGCATGGTTACCACTGACCAGTCGCTCCAAGCTAAGTTCCCCAGCACTTTTCCATTGGCTAGAGCTGGGGTGTGGCTCTAATCGGACCCTGTAATGGCTGCCTTCGCCCTTCCTGCCTGTCTGCTGCTGCCTAAGCATCATCAAGCTGTCCTTGCACCGTCAGTTGCTTTGCTCACCGCTGACGTGTTCTCAAGACACTCCCATCTCTGGGAGCCGACGAAGCCCTGCAAAAGTGTCATCCCTCAAGACACTCCCAACCCTGGGAGCCAAGACCGGGTGTTACCTGGAGAAGACCCGGGCCGGCAGTACCGGCGAACCTCAATCTATCAATCAATGTTCTCAGTCGCCTGTGGGCTACCTTCAAGACTGGGGGTATATAGTGCACTGCAGTCTGGCGCGCCGTGTACGTAGTTTTACAGAAAATGGAATTTCTCTTTTTCTCAGGAATAAGTTATTGACCTTTCGATACGCGTTTTGCGAAAACTAGTTGACGGGTTGTCATGATTTTTGCACACATTATTGAGGAATCATGGTTCTACACAATGGTAACGGGGATTTGCGATATTCCTTACCGTTTTGCTTTTATTGATTTTTTCCGCCCAAAAATCATTAAAAAATAAAAAAAAAAAATTTAACGTTTTTTAAAAGGCAAGATATTGACACAGTGATAATACCCAGTTGCCACGCAACTATTGTGGCCTTTATCTTTCATGTGAGGTCAACTAGAACATCGCCTATCAAGCCAGTTTTGCATCAGGAGTATCGAAAAATACCCTATGAAACAGCCAATAATTATTTTTTCTCTTTATTTTTTCAAAGCAATCTTCACAATAACAACAATGTGTAGTTTTCAAAAGTTGTTTAAATCATAGTATAAATTTAATTAAAATTGGATAATTAGAAAAAATTATCCCTCCTTAATAGCTCTGCATATCTTCTATTAGCAAATGAACTAAATATTGTCTTCGATTCATATCTATCATTTAAAAGTATGTTTTTCATGTATGAAAATATGGCTGTTGTTCACGATATCCGATAATATAATAATAATAGTAATAATCTTTATTTTTACAAGTACACGTACAAGGTATACAGACCTAGCTTGTATCAGTGACATACTACTATATAGACAGCCGCTTGTTATGCAGAGCGCTTCGGGAAAATTGGTCAATTTTGTCCCAGGATGCGACCCACAACCAGTCGACTAACACTTAGGTACCTAATTTACTGATAGGTGAACATGGACAGCAGATGTCTTAAGGAAACTCTTCCTAATGTTTCCACCCGCACCAGGGATCGACCTTCGTACCTCAGTGTGTGAGCTGAGTGCGCTATTACCTGGAGAGAGTTTCGGGGGTCAACGCCCCCGCGGCCCGGTCTGTGACCAGGCCTCCTGGTGGACCAGCGCCTGATCAACCAGGCTGTTGCTGCTGGCTGCACGCAAACCAACGTACGAGCCACAGCCCGGCTGATCAGGAACTGACTTTAGGTGCTTGTCCAGTGCCAGCTTGAAGACTGCCAGGGGTCTGTTGGTAATCCCCCTTATGTGTGCTGGGAGGCAGTTGAACAGTCTCGGGCCCCTGCCACTTATTGTATGGTCTCTTAACATGCTAGTGACACCCCTGCTTTTCATTGGGGGGATGGTGCATCGTCTGCCAAGTCGTAGTGATCCAGTAGTTGAGACAGACAGGAGCGACCTGTTCTAAACCCATGTTGCCCTGGGTTGTGTAACTGATGGGTTTCTAGATGGGTGGTGATCTTGCTTCTTAGGACCCTTTCAAAGATTTTTATGATATGGGATGTTAGTGCTATTGGTCTGTAGTTCTTTGCTGTTGCTTTACTGCCCCCTTTGTGGAGTGGGGCTATGTCTGTTGTTTTTAGTAACTGAGGGACGACCCCCGTGTCCATGCTCCCTCTCCATAGGATGGAAAAGGCTCGTGATAGGGGCTTCTTGCAGTTCTTGATGAACACAGAGTTCCATGAGTCTGGCCCTGGGGCAGAGTGCATGGGCATGTCATTTATCGCCTGTTCGAAGTCATTTGGCGTCAGGATAACATCGGATAGGCTTGTGTTAATCAAATTTTGTGGCTCTCTCATAAAAAAATTCATTTTGATCTTCGACTCTCAGTCTGGTTAGCGGCTTGCTAAAAACTGAGTCATATTGGGACTTGAGTAGCTCAATCATTTCCTTGCTGTCATCTGTGTAGGACCCATCTTGTTTAAGTAGGGGCCCAATACTGGACGTTGTTCTCGATTTTGATTTGGCATAGGAGAAGAAATACATAAGAACATAAGAAAGGAGGAACACTGCAGCAGGCCTGTTGGCCCATACTAGGTTTCTTTCGATTTCATTTATGGCTTTTAGTTCTTCCCGCGATTCCTGACTCCTAAAGGATTCTTTTAGCTTAAGTTCGATGCTTGCTATTTCTCTGACCAGTGTCTCCCTGCGCATTTCAGATATATTGACCTCTTTTAGCCGCTCTGTTATTCTTTTCCGTCGCCTGTAAAGGGAGCGCCTGTCTCTTTCTATTTTACATCTACTCCTCCTTTTTCTTAGAGGAATAAGCCTTGTGCATACATCGAGTGCCACCGAGTTAATCTGTTCTAGACATAAGTTTGGGTCTGTGTTGCTTAGTATATCTTCCCAGCTTATATCGGTTAGGACTTGGTTTACTTGGTCCCACTTTATGTTTTTGTTATTGAAGTTGAATTTGGTGAATGCTCCCTCGTGACTAATCTCATTATGTCGGTCTGGGGCACCACGCATACATGTCTGAACCTCAATTATGTTGTGATCTGAGTATATTGTTTTTGATATGGTGACATTTCTTATCAGATCATTATTGTTAGTGAAGATGAGGTCTAGTGTATTCTCCAGTCTAGTAGGCTCTATTATTTGCTGGTGTAAATTGAATTTTGTGCAGAGATTTAAAAGCTCGTGTGAGTGTGAGTTTTCATCAGAGCTGCCTCCTGGTGTTATTACTGCAACAATATTATTTGCTATATTCCTCCATTTTAGGTGCCTTAAGTTGAAATCCCCCAGGAGCAAGATGTTGGGTGCAGGAGCTGGAAGATTTTCGAGACAGTGGTCAATTTTTAACAGCTGTTCCTGGAATTGCTGGGATGTTGCATCCGGAGGCTTGTAGACTACCACAATGACTAGGTTTTGGTTCTCGACCTTTACTGCTAAAACTTCCACTACGTCATTTGAGGCATTAAGCAGTTCTGTGCAAACAAGTGACTCTGCAATGTACAGGCCAACCCCCCCCCCCCTTTTCCCTGTTCACTCTGTCACATCTGTATAGGTTGTAACCTGGGATCCATATTTCGTTGTCCAAGTGATCCTTTATGTGGGTCTCAGTGAAAGCCGCGAACATTGCCTTTGCCTCTGCAAGCAGTCCACGGATGAAAGGTATTTTGTTGTTTGTTGCTGGCTTTAGACCCTGTATATTTGCAAAGAAGAATGTTATCGGACTGGTGGTATTGTTGGTACTGGGGGGGGATTTTTTTTCCGGCATTAGTATCTGTATCTGTTGGTTTGGAGTGGAGGCCATCGACTGTGGTTCCACTCCAGGAATGACTGGATTTGGTGTACGATTTCTGCCATTTCCTGCCAGTTTTTTTTCCTTCCTGGCACTAAAAAACCTCTCCCTCTTGAGTGGCTGTGGCTACCCAGGTTTTCCCATGGCCTGGATGTTTTGTATCTTTTTGTCCCCTTTAGATGGTATGCCTGGCAATTTAAGTTATAGCACAGTCTTTCCTGTACTGAAGAGGTACACATTTCAGGGTGAAAAAGCTTACAGGAAGGGAGTTTGCATTTTCCTGTTGTCATATGGGCATGGCATTTTCTAGGGTGGTCATAGTTGCATGTCCCATCTGTTTTTCCAGATTTCCCATGCCAGCAGATACCAAGTGCATAGTATGTGCACAGGCTTGGTTTCCGTTTGCCTTGGGTTTCTGTGACTGTATTCCCTGTTGGTGCATGTTTCCCTGTCTTATTCCTATCCTCCCTAGCACCAACAATGGAGCTCCCACCAGTTGTTTTTGGTAATTTATCCTCACTATTGCTATTGTAGTCCTCTTGTTTGCTATTTCCTGCGGTATTTCTAGTTTGCAATATTGGTTTTATCTTATCTTTGACTACACTTGTTTCCCTACTATGGCTCCTGTCCCCTATGAGGTCATTTATATGTATTCCTTCCTGCGTATAATTCCCGACTACCTGGACAAAATCTCCAGCTTCACCATTACTGTCTCCCAGGACAGTATCTCCAGCTTCACCATTTCTGTCTCCCAGGACAGCACCTCCAGCTTCACCATTACTGTCTCCCAGGACAGCACTATCAGCCCCACATTTACTGACTACCAGGACATCACCTCCAGCCTTACAGTTTGTGACTACATGGCCAGTATCAAGGGCAGTACCATTCAGCCCAGACTTTTTATGTTCCCATCTGTTGTAGAAAGCTTCCAGGTTTTCTATGAAAGCAGCTTTGATGTTATCCTCTTTTAATACCCTTGTGATTTTAGTCCACAGATTTTCCTCATTTGGGCATACCCAAAAACACTTCTCTGTTTTAATACTGCTTGTAGCTAGTTCTGGGATATCTGCACAAGGAGCATGACACCAATTTCCACAAAAATGACAATTTATCCATGTGGAAGCCCGTTTGTTTGACTGACCACAGACTACACACAGCTTCATAATGATTTGAATGGTTGATTTACTGCAATTCTACTAGCAACCTTTTGAATATTATATTAATAACCTTAAATGAAGCTCTAGCTATTTGTATTTCTGTTTCTAACTCTTTTTGTATATTGGACAGCTTACCGTCACGTTCCTGATTTTTAATGTTTGTGTTTATAAGGGCGCCTACAAACCCATCCGTTTACAGTCTGCTTTATTGTCCAACGAAACTGTTTGAAACCAGTCCCGGGTTCGGACCAGTCAAGGGTTCGGACCAGTCAAGGGTTCGGACCAGCCAAGGGTTCGGACCAGTCGATCTGCTCTGATCAGTGGGTCACTTATTTAAAACATACTGGTCGGTGATTTGAGCTAACACATGAAGGATCTACTGGAAATTATCTACCCGAGTAATATGTGATTTGACTGATACAAAAGTATAACTTGCGTGTTGAAGAGCCGGTGATATCTGGCAGCTCCTACAATGACGTACGGTCGACCTCTTTGTTTATCAATCGCTGTATCTGGCTTTTCTATTTTTGTTTTTCCGTCTCCACCACAATAAATGCTATATTATCACTATAGTTGACTGGTGCAAATTTTGGAGGAAGGACGCTTTTTCTGTAGTAATAATTGCTTCTCGTTGTGTATATTGCGACCGCTGGTAACTACAGGTTATATGAAATTCACAGTAACGTCTCGTATTTCAAGAAAAAGAAACTAATGAAAGTCACTCCACTCCACTAAGTACCATTATAATACTGGTTAGTTGCTACTACAACACTGTATTCTGCTATTCACTGGTATCACTAGATTATATGCGAGTACACTAGCAAGCCAGGAAGATTATTAAAAACAGCTGACCTGTGGTAATTTTCTGGCGACTTCTGGCACCTGCCTCTATAGGCTTATCACTTCATTTACAAATTCACCTGTTTTCAAATGGCACTTTAGCCTTTATCATCAATATACTAGGGAGCCACTGTAGTATACACTATACACTATGTATACTCAATGTTATCAGAGAGACTTTCTTTCCTCTGACACGAAAAGTTCAATTATTATTTTTTTTTTCCACACGGGACACAGGCCTATGATTCCCCTCTGGCAGTAAACTCTGCTAGGTAGTGCACACTAATTCTCCTTTTTTGACTCAGTATATAATGTTTTCCGCCCAAGATTGGTTCCAGGCGCTAGAGGGATGTATCGTATAGGATTGATGACACCAATTAAAGTTCTAGCACGTAAGAGCGACCGTGAAAACACGAGATAACCCGGAGCACAACGAGACACGCTGACATTTCATGAAGACTTAATAATTATTATTATTATTATTATCATCATTAGCAGCAGCAGCAGTAGTCAGTCAATAAACTAATGTGCAGTACAGTACAAACACTCACACACACACACACACACACACACACACACACACACACACACACACACACACACACACACACACACACACACACACACACACACACACACACACACACACACATACACACACACAGGCCTAGTGTCGAATCGACATGTTCCTAGGACAAAATGGTAACTAACACACACACACATACATACATATTATATATACCTATGGAAAATAAAATATTATCACTGTACAATGCATTTCGCGACTGCTCATAGTAGCTGTAGTAGTAATAGTGGTAGTAAATGTATTATATTTTAAAAATAAAGCACTAATGTTTCAATTTTACTGAGTGGAGTTGAGTTCTTCTTTGGAAGCGAGTGAGACCAACGAGTATTGTTGCCGGCAGCTTTGACTTGAACCCATACCAGCGTCACAGCTTCTGGCTTTGTATCGTCTTAGGCTTCTTCTTCACCCTGGGTACCTACGGTGTCAACCAGAGCCAGACACAACGCTACTTCAGCACGGGATCTATCAAACAGGCACAATGGTAGGTACTTACTGTGATTTTCTGTTTGTAATACATACAAGATCAGAGCTATGCTCCTGGTGTCTCATCTTTATATTGCCTCCTGGATATTATTCCTGCATTCAACTAATAATTGAGTAATTTTATTTTAGTACTTCTTATGAATTACTTCAGTTTCAGTTTACAGTCGTCACTTGTGATAGAGATGTTAAGACGCCACAAAAGTGGCGTCATCACATCTTATATTTTTTTATTATTTTATATTCAAGAACATAATTTACAAGTGAGAATAATTGTATCGGGTGTGCTTGTGTTGGAATAATTAGGTATCCCTGAAAAAGGACCTTTAAGAGGTTGCTTGATTTTTTTTTTTTTGGGGGGGGGATGATCTTCCCCCAGTCTAGCATATAACTCGAGAACGCCTCATTCCCTTGCCTTCAGATGTTCCCACTTATATACGGTAACGAGACCCAAATTCTTGGAACAACTAGCATGGTCACGTGTCCTATGACCGAAGTTACTGAACCCATGCCCAGGGCGGAATTCAATAGTGTAGGAGCAGATTTCACCATTTTAAGCGTAGTGTGAAATTTTTATTCCTATTAAACCACGTTAAATCAGTTTCAGTTTACCTCTTCCGAACGGCTTCAGTACTGAATGACTGGTGTATCCTAGAGCAAGGAGTACATATCAAGTTTCGTTTGCGTGACGCAAACAGTAAAAATAAAAAACTTGGAATCGCTGGACTCCATGCTGTAACTGAAGAATGACCCATCTTATCGGCTTCAAATTTCCACCACTGTTGCTAGTGTACTCATCTCTCACACTGAGGTCCGTGGTTTGATCCCCGGTACGGGTGGAAACATTAGGACGTGTTTCCTTAAGTTAGACACCTGCTGTCCCAGTTTACCTATCAATAAAATAGGTACCTGGGTGTTAGTCGACTGGTGTGGGTCGCATTCTGGGGGCAAAATTGACCTAAATTGCCCGAAATGCTCTGCATAACATTGGGCTTTCTCTACAGATGTCATTGAGGTCAGCTAGGTTTGTTTACGTTGTACATGTAGAAATAAAGATTATTATTAAGTAGTAATATTAATTTTTTTTTTCAATAACTAAAGACTGTTTCTTTTGATTGCTTTCAAAATATTATTGTTAGGTAAGACACATATGCAACAGTTAGGTATCTTTATTATGAAACGTTTCGCCTACACAGTAGGCTTCTTCAGTCAAGTACAGAAAAGTTGATAGAAGCAGAAGATACTTGAAAACGATGTAATCAGTCCATCACCCTTAAAGTTTTGAGGTGGTCAGTCCCTCAGTCTGGAGAAGAGCATTGTTCCATAGTATGAAACAATGCTCTTCTCCAGACTGAGGGACTGACCACCTCAAAACTTTAAGGGTGATGGACTGATTACATCGTTTTCAAGTATCTTCTGCTTCTATCAACTTTTCTGTACTTGACTGAAGAAGCCTACTGTGTAGGCGAAACGTTTCATAATAAAGATACCTAACTGTTGCGTATGTGTCTTACCTAACAACCTGTCGGTATTTTATACCATTTTAATGTTCAAAATATTATTGATGAAACATTGTACAGGAAGGATGAGTTTAATTTTAGTAGGTGCTATTTAGAAATATTACTGTATTATTGTATTTTCAAGTTGAACAAGGGCAGACTTTCCTATTTTTGGGAACATTCTCAGCAACATTTTCGTTTACTTTCTCGCAAATTTTTTTCTATAACTTATGAACACCTTATTCGATCAGGTTTAAATTTTCAACACGTGTGTAATGTATCTTAATCCAGATTCACGTGTCTGCATACGTTGAGTAACCTATGCACAATGCTACATAAATCATTCCCAAATTTTGTTTCTATAAGGTAGGTAGAGACGAGCTCCTCTGATCGCCTTCAAAACTGCAACACTCGTGTATCCTTCTTGGTAATGGTTTATATATTTAATGGAGTGTGTTGATGTGATTTTGTTATTTTTAATCTCGAAAGGATGTAGTATTATTTTACATAATTGCATTATTTTGCCTTTATGCTGTTGAGCTCTTGATCCAGTGAACTGAACTGATCTTCTCATCACTTGATAGAATTTGAATGCCTTCCTTTCCACAGGTGCTATATGACCCTTACGAATTTCGTACTTTCCTGGTTAAAACATAACACTTGTTAACGGCATCAATCTTCAACGACTGACGCATCTTCTGATCAGCTTTAAACTTTTGGTGCCGTATTTTCTTCAGAGGAAACAATCTCTTGATGTTAGGTTGTGTGCTAATTTTATAAATCAAATTAATTTGTGAAATAATTGGAGAATATCTCCTCTGATCAGAAATACATACGTTTCCATATGCAACTGATCTTGCAAGAAATTCCTAACTACATGCACGAATGAAGGAGGACTAAATCGCTTGGCGGTGTAGAGTCCTCTGGTCCCTCACCCTCAGGACACCACGTGCAGTGAAGGATTTATTTTGGTCTTCGGGTGTCCGTCTGCTCAAGACCCCACAGATCGACTAAAACCCACGTTTCCCAAACCATACCACGGGCGGGATTGAACCCGCGGTCAGAGAGTCTCAAAACTCCAGACCGTCGCGTTAGCCACTGGACCAGCTAGCCACAATAAGATTCGTCCAACTAGGTATATTTCTACACCATAGGAAGGTTAGCATAGGCACCACTGTGACCACAAATGCAAGTTTTTACAGACGAATCTCCAGCTAGCGTGGCCGTGACAAACTCTAGCTCAAGTCCTCTCAATGCCGTCAACATGACTAAGCTAACCTTCCTATGGTGTAGAAATATACCTAGTTGGGCGAATCTTATAGTAGCTAGCTGGTCCAGTGGCTAACGCAACGGTCTGGAGTTTTGAGACTCTCTGGCCGCGGGTTCAATCCCGCCTGTGGTATGGCTTGTTTGCAATCGTGCCATTACGGTTTCGTGAGCCACGTTTCCCCATAATATCATTGGCCAACTAATGCTGAGAGTGCGCCTGGGGTGCGCCTGGGAAGAGACAAATTTCCACGGTACTTCGGAAAGCCTCTATGATTTTGCATTCCACAGGCAAGTATATGAAGACACGCGGGTGCTCCGAGCTGCTTCACACCAGCTGCTGGCTGCTGGCGTCTCTGTCACTCCCGCCTCCGTTCGAGCATGGGGTTATCATTTCTCCTTAGCTAATATAACCTAATATTCACCTATATTAAAAGCCTAAGCCTACCTATGTAAAGGTCCTAAGGCTACAATATTAACATCTAAGGTTACTTCTCAAATTCTAATATTAGTAACTAACTGTGTAAACCTATCTAAACCTTCCTTGATGCGTGATGTGTCTCTTAACATAATGATAAATGGATCACCTATCACAAAACTCACAGAAGGAAAATTCCTAGGAATCCACCTTGATAATAGACTCAAATTTCAAACACATATACAACAAATTTCCAAAAAAATTTCCAAGACCGTAGGCATACTATCGAAGATACGGTACTATGTTCCACAGTCAGCCCTCCTGGCCCTATATCACTCACTTATTTACCCCTATCTCACCTATGGAATTTGTGCATGGGGCTCAACAACAATAAACCATCTCAGACCATTAATTACCCAACAAAAGGCTGTAGTCAGAATGATAACAAATTCCCACTACAGGCAGCACACTCCACCAATATTCAAAACTCTAAACCTACTCACAATACAAAACATCCATACTTATTACTGCACCTTCAACATACATAGAACACTTAACTCTGACATAAACCTTCCCCTCAAACATCTCCTTACCAACCTCAACAGAACACATGACTATAACACAAGGCACAGATCACTCTTTGATGTTCCTCGTGTCCATCTCACGCTATGCAAAAACTCAATGCACATAAAAGGCCCTAAAATCTGGAATTCATTACCTGTGAATATAAAAGAAACACTGTCTGTTTATAAATTCAAGTCTCTTCTCAAAAATCACTTACCCACAACTAAATAAATACTGAATAATTGTATCTCATAAATTATATCTTATATATGTCTCATTATTGTATCTCATAAATGTCAACCTGTGACCCAATCAAACTTTGTTACAATTTAACTTCATTACCTAACATAATACTCCATTCTAGTGATTACACAGCAACACAGTAATGACCATATGACCTGTCTTTGTAATACTCATTTGTATTAAATTGTTAACTGTTTTACAATAATTTTTATACCACTGAATATATCATTGCTTAGTTAATCTTAAGTTAATTTTAAGCTGCCCATAATGCTCTGCATCAAAGGGCTTTGGCATGTTACACTTTAAAAATTGTATTCCTTGTACTTCTCTGTATCATGTTCAAATTAAATAAATAAATAAATAAATAAATACTGATTGTACAGCAATGCATGCAACCATATGACCTGTTTTTGTAATACTCATTTGTGCTTAATTGTTATCTGTTTACAATAATGTTTTACCACTGAATACTTCATTGCTTAGTTAATCTTAAGTTAATTTTAAGCCTGCCCGTAATGCTATGCATTCAAGTGGCTTTGGCATGCTGCATTTAACTGTATTCTTTTGTACTTCTCTGTATCATGTTCAAATTAATAAATAAATAAATTAATATGTACAGTCCCTACCTCCTTGTGTGTGTGTGTGTGTGTGTGTGTAGATGTTAAGGGCTCATACTGCTTATTTACTGTTTACTCTGTGGAAGTTAATTGGTCTCCCAGTAAGTTTCCACATATACACTAAGGTTACATGGAACTTAGCTTCTTAATAAAAAGTTTGGACTGATTTTGGCCCATGTAGATTCCAATTTGCTTTTTTGTGAAAAATTGAAATACTGCTTCTCGTGAGATAGTTTCTGAGTGTCACATCTGATTAACTTCAGCCCTTCCATGCTGATTCCTTGATAACGCAACATCTGAGCGGCTTCAGGCGGCTTAATGTCTTTGTGTATTTTAAGATAGTGGTGTCTTCGATAACCGTCAGAAATCTAAATTAGATGTCCTAATTTACTATTTTTATTGAAGAAATCTGGATATTACTTAGCCGCATTATGAACTTGTTCTACCGTGAACTGAGGCGCAGGGGACTGAGGTTATGGAATACGGAGATATCTTTTTTAGGATCGCGTAGAAACCATAATACTTCTAGTTTTACAGATCTATTTCAGACCTCTTTTCTATTAAACTTGATATACCATGTGCTTCTGTTAGTGGTTCCTATAGTTATTGATGTGGTTGTGTCTTACACAGGGTATTATACTATGCTGCTATGGGAATGGTGTTCCTGCGAGCATTGATCCACCTTTCCGGGCTAGTTATGTACGCTCACTTCAAGGACTGCGACCCTATCACCGCCTCAGGCACAATCTCAGACCCATCTATCGTGGTCATAGCGTATGTCCTAAGAGTTCTTACAGAAATCCCTGGTCTGTCAGGCCTCTTCGTAGCAGCCATCTATGCCGCCGTCCTCAGGTATGCCTCAAAACTCAAGTTTCTTATAACTTAGCAGATGAAACAGATGGTAATGTCTAATACCATATTCCAGCTACTTTTGCTGTACAGCCATTTGTAAGAGGGTGTCAGCTAAGAACTGTTATTGGTAAAAGCGTTTTAGTTCACTAAACAAAGCTTTTTATGATCCATTTAATTATTTATATATCTATTTTTTTTAAATCTAGCTTCTAGAAATAATCCTTCATGAATCAAACGGATCGCAATAAAACAGTTGATGTTGATAAACTGTATGAAATCTTCACAGATAACTAAAGGGTCAAATTTAGTCCTGCTGCCAAAGAACTGGTTTGTTTTTATCGACGAGTCTTGAAATCTTATACTGGGCTCTTCCCAGTCTTTCTTATAGTACTTCGTGATCATTTCCCTTCCTTAAGTTTTAGCACCTGATTAGTTACTGTCACTTTCCTTCCGTCATTGCTTTAGTTGATAATCAAATGGTACACAATACCGACAGGTTGGTAGATAAGACACATAGGCAACATTTAGGCAACTTTATTCCGAAATGTTTCGCCTACACAGTAGGCTTCTTCAGTCGAGTACAGAAAGTAGGCAAGAGCAGTAGAGATGTGAAGACGATGTAATCAGTCCATCACCCTTGAAGTAGATTTTGAGTTCTGTTCCAAAATCTGGAACTTTAGAACAGAACTTCTCCAGGCTGAGGGACTGACAACCTCAAATCTACGACTTCAAGGGTGATAGACTGATTACATCGTCTTCACATCTCTACTGCTCCTGCCTACTTTCTGTACTCGACTGAAGAAGCCTACTGTGTAGGCGAAACGTTTCGGAATAAAGTTGCCTAAATGTTGCCTATGTGTCTTATCTACCAACCTGTCGGTATTGTATACCATTTGATGATCACTCTGTCAGACACTGCAACACAATGGCATCTTGGTACAGAAGAGAAAACACCTTGGACAACTTTTTCAAGTGAGAATTGTTTGATCTGAGAGAGACAAGACCTCCCAGTGGCTACATTCTCACTACTACTACTCTGCATCTCTCCTTCCGATAGTATTTAAGTCTCAACACTGTCGCTTGATCTTCAGTTCCAGACTTTGGAACAAACTTCTCCAGGCTGAGGGACTGACAACCTCAAATCTACGACTTCAAGGGTGATGGACTGATTACATCGTCTTCACATCTCTACTGCTCCTGCCTACTTTCTGTACTCGACTGAAGAAGCCTACTGTGTAGGCGAAACGTTTCGGAATAAAGTTGCCTAACTGTTGCCTATGTGTCTTATCTACCAACCATTGCTTTAGTTGTTTGATTCTCGAGATTCTTTTATTTCTCTCTCCATTCTGGCTCTCCTACTTAGCTTGCTATTTTTTTTCTTTTTGTCATATAAAATGCCACCTATGTTTTTTTTATGCTCTCTTGTATTTATCTCTTTTCGTCTCTGGTTAAATAAAGGGTCTTCTCGTGTTTTGTTAATTCACTTTGCAGTGAGATAGTCCATCATAATTTTGGGAATTAGTCCATTGAACATGCAATCTCACTTGATCCCAGAGGTAATATGGACGATCCCACATCGGGTCTTGTTAAGAATTATTTTGTGGCAATAACTGGGATCATTTAAAAAATCCTTTCACTAGTAACGGGGACCTATATAAAAAAAATTATGTTCAAGTAAGGAGAGTTTTAGCAGCATATTAAATATCTATGATTGGTCTTGTTTAATATTATCTGTGGCACGCTTTTCTCAACAGTTCAGTGTCAACTCAGCTCAATTCGCTGACAGCTGTTCTGTGGGAGGATTTCCTGAAAGTTATACCAGTCTTTGAGAACTGGAGTGAGGTCAAAGTTGGTGGACTACAGAAGGTACTAGGTAGGTTATCTAATTTCTTCGTACGCTTCCCATTTGTCTGTACAAAATTATCTTGCATCCATAGACTTGCCAGCTGCTTATATCTAGTATTTTGCAAAGTTTTTCTTATGTTTTAATTTCTCATCTAAACAGTATTCGTTACGGGTGTGTTGGGCATCATCCTGGGTTTGGTGGTATCGACTTTTGACTGGTCATTCCTGAGAGCGCTCTTTGCTATTAATGGAGCCCTCTCTGGCCCTCTCATTGGTCTCTTCCTCACAGCTATCTACTTCCCATGGGTCAATGTCAAGGTAAAGCAACGAAAGTCGTATGCCCTATTTCTGAAAAGAAGAAAGCAAATTCTAAAAGTATAATAATTCCAAAAGAAACAGAAAGCTTCTGTCACAACTTATTAATCCCTTTTTAAGTAGGAAAAAAATACATTTTTGATGAAGTAGATATGGCAAAGATTTCATCTGTTTATTTGTATTAACTGTAGAAAACTTGAATATGTCTGTGCCAACACAAGAGTAAAGATATTCCTCGTTTTAACACAATCTTCAATTACATTTTGATGTATTCAAACTAAGAATATGTAAACGAAGTCGGAGATGAAACTGGCCAAAAAAATTCTTGCATGATATTATTAACAAATGTTCCTTAAGTTTATCTCAGGAAAAACTTGATAGGCCACAGGAAGCAAAGCTTATATATAATTTAATAAATAAACAAATACTTGTAAACAATATTTACTTATTAATTTGTTCTTGGATGTGTATATAATACAGTAAATATATATATATATAAATATATAATATATTATATATATATATATATATATAATATATATGTATATATATAATATATATATGTCTTGCCGAATAGGCAGAACTTGCGATCTCGGCTTAAATAGCAACGCTCATCTTGCCATATAGGACAAGTGAAAATTTGTGTATGCAATAATTTCGTCAAAATCATTCTGAACCTAACTAAAAAAATATATTTCACTGTGTTTTTTTAGTATTAAATTACTGTAAACAAATCTAAAATATATTTAGTTGGGTTAGGCTAAAATAAATTGTTTTTGTTATAATAAGGTTAGGTAAGTTTTCTAAGATTCTTCTGGTGCAAAATTAAAAATTTTTACATTAACATTAATGAAAAAAATATATCTTTAAACGTATAAAAGAAAATTTCAGCAAGGACTTAATTTTGTACCCTCTTTGTACTGTCTTTGTACCCTCTCTTTCAGTATTGTCCTTCCTTCTTGTGTTCTGTCGCAATCGAGGTACACTCTCCGGTACTCCGGTACTCCGGTACTCCGGTACTCTGGTTTGTCCTTCAGTTGTGCTTTCTCCTGCAGGATCCTGGTTCGAGCTGATTATGCCTTGAAAATTACTATGTGTGTGTGTGTGTGCATGCGCTCTGATGTGGGTGTGTGACCTTGTGTGGACGTGTCAGTGGTTCATTGCTTTTAATTTGTTTATGATTGTAACCATGTATAGGAGTGTAGATGGTTCATTACCTTTGTAAATTGCCATGACTGTGACCAGATCTACCTAGAGTTCATTTCACTGGTCTGCATTTGGAATTTTTTTAATTTCTATTTTTATTCATGGTTGCCATCTTACATATTCTTGGGCTGCTGATTGTAAATATCTAAACTATTTTGCTCTATCATGTAAGGATTTTGAATAAAATACAAATTAATGATAAAAAATGTGAATTTTTAATCAATTGTCAATTTATTAAAATTAGGCAAGCAATCATGGAAAAGCACATCTGCTTTGTATGACATCCCCATGTGTTCAATAAGGCCAGAAATTTTGAACAGAAAACTAAAGATTCCTCTTTTGTCAAAGAAATGAGTGAATTCCGCTTCACGATGACGGTACCAAGCAAATGTTGCTCCAGGAGCCAAGTAACTGTACACTTTCTTTTGGAAAGTTAAGGTCTCTCACCAAGTCATTGAGCTCAACTTGGTTGAAGGGTTTGGGATCGTCATTTGTTGGTGGTTCATAGTCTACGTCCATCTCCTTAGAATCAATGGTATCAGACTGATGAAATTTGCCATGTCTCAGGTGGCACAGGTGCAGGAATATCTTCAGAGTGAGGAACAGGCCTTATTGCTGAAGGAATATTTGGGTATATTATGCGATCTTTAGAACTTCTTGTTGAATCCAGCTACTTTAGTCATACAAAAGTAGTAGTCATTATGATGGTTCATCTCCTCCCGCCATACCATTGGTACCATCGGTACTCCAAAGGATACGTCAGTTTTTCAATGGAGCGCATTTGGAACTTGCTGATGCAACTCTTGCAACCTTTGTGTAGTGCAAATGGTTTGCCATGGTCAAAATTAGCAAAGTAGCAGCGCTTCAATAAAGGAGTAAGTAATGTTGTTCCGGGAATCTGAAGGTGTGAATTGCCCGCAGACATAACAAAATATGTCTGGTGAATTTCTGCAGCCTCTAGACATTAATAATCTGAAAAAAAAAGAAAAATATATTAGATTTAACATTGAAGTCAATATAAGGTAAACATTTTAATTGATAATATACCACTTTCTCATTTACTTGTGTTATACGAAAAGATAAAAGTAACATTTCCGTATAACTTGACAACCTGTTGTGATAGAGATGAATAAAAAGCACAATGAATCACTATTTTCCATATATATACCAAAAAAGATGCCATAGTCAATAAAAAAAAATCATGCAGACCAGTGTTATTTTTGTAATTTGTTCAGATATCAAAACTTTGAGGCCCAGTCCCTGGACCCATTATGTACCTCTGTAATCTTTTGACTACCGCCCACAGTTACTTAGTTTAATATCTTTATTATGCCCCCCCCCATACCCAACGTGTGGGCGGTAGTCAAAAGATTACAGAGGTACATTTCTCTGTCGTCCATAAATGCTCTCAACTCATTAAGTATAAATTGTGGAATGCTCGTGTCGGAAGCCAGACACAGGTATGGTAAGATTGTGGACAGTGGAGTCAAAGTGCACATGCTGTGGATTCCATCTCACATTGGTCTTCAGATGCATGATAGAACTGGTGAATTGGCTAAGATGTATGCTTTCAAAGAGGGAGTAGATTACAATCTTGGATTGTCAATTAGCAGTTTGAGAACAATTATACGAAAAGAACTTTATTGACTTAAGACTTAGGAAGATTGACATAAGTCAGTCCATCTATCATTATTCCATCATGCAGGAGGAGCCACATGTCTAGATGCATCCAACAAGATAAGCAGACTCTTGGATGTCACTACTGCCCAGCTCCGGCTGGGTTACAAGTATCTATGGCAGGTTAAATCACCACCACCAGATGTAGACCAAACGAAATGTAAACTTTGCCAGGTGAACTATTGTCACACCCTACATCATTATGTACTGGAGTGCGATAAAATTAATGAATTTAGAGACAACTCACTAAGAAATGTTCAAGAAATGGCAAAATATTATGGATATGGGGTGCATAATTAAGATATTAAACTAACTTCGTCTCCTCTCCGTGCAGGCGCAGATTTTCCAAGTGTCAAATCAACACCATTTTTATGCTCATTTACATCAATCAAAATTATACATTACGATTTCCCGAAATTTAGGAAAAAAAAATCCACATGATAGCTCTCGGCCACAAGACAAGAAAGTTTAGGTTAAACCCCGTGTGAGGTGAGCTGGGAAGATGGGACAGGTGAAGAATAGCGTTGGAGAGGAGTGTCCACAGTCGTTGAGAAAGTGCCAGGTTAAAGAGCCGGAACCAACAACCAACTTGAAGCAATATTACTGAGGTATTGTTCTCGACTAGGCTCAGATCAGCTTCCTCTGTGAAAGTAACGCCACGTCTCCCAGTCTTAAAACTCGACTTTATTATTATTATTATAATCAAGGGTAAGCGCTAAACCCGTAGGATTATACAGCGCCTGGGGGGGAGGATGTGGAAGGCATTCAGGCTTAATTCGGGGAACTGGAACACAGATCCAATTCCCTAAATCAAGAGCCCCTCACCAACATCAAGGAACCTTCCCTGAGGGGAAAACTCGACTTTAAATAATATTTGTGCTCACTAGTTTAATGAGAATCTGTTTCGTTTAGGGAAAACTAAAATTAAATAACACTGAACATGACTACTATACAATTAATGTGTAGTGTAAGCTTAAACAAATTCTAATAATTTTTTAATCAACCGATTAGGACGTAAATATAATCTAACATTGAAAAGCATTAAGTAGATGAATTATTCTAAATAAAAATAACAGGAATAACTGTATCTCTAGTGAAATACGATGGAATAATGATTATTAATTATTTTGTCAATATTTTTCACATGACCATAATTACTACAAACAGCTTACTTAACATGAAGGTCCATTCATATATTTTTTTTTTTTTTAGATATATAAAGATCACAAATAGGACAGATATCAAGTTGACTGGTACATTCCCCTCTTTAAGTCTTGAGAAAAAGTCATAACTTATTAACTTAGGCAGTATTACTATGTGTGATGAATTCTGGAGCTTCTGTTCTTAACCATTATGGCTCATCATATACTGAAACAACAAAGGTCACTTGCACCAATTATAAATCCTTTTTCAGGGAGCCTCAGCCGGTTTTGTTGTATCAATCATTATCAACATCTGCATCGTCACTGGTCAGCTCATGGAACCTAAGGCGAAGTTCCTGAGATTGTCCCGAGACGGGTGTCCTCCAGGCATCAACACTACGATGTCTGTGCCTCTTAACTTCACAGCTCTTCCTTCAACCGTTTTTTCTACAGCTGCTGTTTCTTCAACAGCTATTTCTTCAACAACTGTTTCTTCAACAGATGTTTCTTCAACAGCTGTTCCTCCAACCGCTAAGTTAGTTACCTCGTTATTTTAGATTACTAAATTAATATAGTAAATTAAACTTTCCGCAGTTGCATCTTTTAGCACATTAAGAACAATTAAAATAGAAAACAGTTATTTTTGAAAGATTTAAGCGCAGTTATTAGTTTTAATATTTCTCTGTAATGTTACTATTACGATCACAACACTTCTGCCCTCTACCTGTCAGAATCATCAGTGTTGAAATTAGCAGATTGTTGAAAATGAAGATTGTATATTAGTTGTTTTGGGGAAATAGTTGGGAATGACCATGTTAAAAGAATATGTTTAGTGCTTGAACTTGTGTCACTTGCGTTGCAGGATCCATCCTCTGTATGGCCTCTCCTACTGCCTCAACTCGCTGTGGGGGACACTCTTCTGTATAGTGGTGGCTGTCATTGTCACCATTGTCACAGGTAAGGTCGTCATATGTATGGTGATTCACTGCATGCATATACCAACTACACTAACTACCAAACGCTATAGGAGTAGAGGGAATATAAATGTATAAATTCAAAGATTATGTGGATTAAAATATGGGTCGGATGCGAAAAGTGCGTCATAATAAATGTATGCACATGTAGAAGAGGGAGAGAGAGAGAGAGAGAGAGAGAGAGAGAGAGAGAGAGAGAGAGAGAGAGAGAGAGAGAGAGAGAGAGAAAGGGAGGGAGAGAGAGAGAGAGAGATTTTGGGAGATGTTAAGCAAGTGTGTAGGAACTTTTGAGCCAAGTGAGAGAGTAATTGTGGTAGGGGACCTAAATGCTTAAGTGGGAGAAACATTTAGTGAGGGTGTGGTAGGTAACTTTGGGGTGCCAGGTGTAAATGATAATGGGGGCCCTTTACTTTGTATAGAAAGGGGTTTGTTATAGGTGCCTGGAGTTTACCTGGAGAGGGTTTCGGGGGTCAACGACCCCGCGGCCCGGTCTGAGATCAGGCCTCATGGTGGATCAGCGTCTGATCAACCAGGCTGTTACTGCTGGCCGCACGCAAACTGACGTACGAACCACAGCCCGGTTGGTCAGGTACTGACTTTAAGTGCCTGTCCAGTGCCGTCTTGAAGACAGCCAGGGGTCTATTGGTAATCCCCCTAATGTATGCTGGGAGGCAACTGAACAGTCTTGGGCCCCGGACACTTATTGTGTTGTCTCTCAGTGTACTTGTGGCACCCCTGCTTTTCATCGGGGCAATGTTGCATTTCCTGCCGAGTCTTTTGCTTTCATATGGAGTGATTTTCGTGTGCAGGTTTGGTACCAATCCCTCCAGGACCTTCCAAGTGTATATTATCATGCATCTCTCTCTCGCCTGCGTTCGACGGAATACAGATCAAGGGTCTTCAACCGTTCTCAGTAGTTTAGGTGCCTTATCGCACTTATGTGTACCGTGAAAGTTATTTGTACACTCTCCAGGTCTGCAATGTCGCCAGCCTTGAAGGGGGCCGTTAGTGTACAGCAGTATTCCAGCTTAGAGATCACAAACGATTTGAAGAGAATCATCTCTGTCTATGTCAGAAATGAGGATTAGGAATAGAATGGGAGCGAGTACTGTGCCTTGTGGAACAGAGCTTTTTACCATGGCTGTCTGGGACTTTACTGTTTACTATTTCTCTTTGTGTTCTATTTGTCAGGAAGTTGTAGATCCATCTACCAACTTTTCCCGTCATTCCTTCATCATGCATTTTGTGTGGTATTACACCATAGTCACACTTGTCGAAAGCTTTTGCAAAGCCTGTGTATACTACATCTGTATTTTGTTTATCCTCTACAGCATCCAGGACCTTGTCATAGATCTAAACTTACTCCCTGTTCAGTACATCCACACTTACTACTGTGCAATCTACATCTACAGGACCTTAAACTCCAATATCAACCTTGACCTAAAACGCTTTCTTGATAGTTGTGACAGAACCCACAGGCATAACACCAGACACAAACATCTCTACGACATTCCCCGTGTCCGACTAAACCTTTACAAAAATTCAATGTATGTCAAAGGCCCTAAAAACTGGAACACCCTACCTGGGGAACACTAGGGAAATGCAGACACATTCATCACCTTCAAAACTACCATTAGAAAACATCTTATCCCGATAAACCCCATCAACTAACTACACGAATACCACCTGGTGGTTCACACTTACACTTCATCACCCATTTGACCAAAACAAAAATATTAAACTCAATCTTAAAATAATGAATCCTATGATACTCCAACACTGAAACTATGTTTCTGTGCCAAAACAAAAGCATTCACATTGCTAAACTCACAAAATAGTATTTAGTCACTTAGCCTAATACCAACTTCCTCATAATTTGTAATATTTTAAAATAAAGAATTAAACTAAGTCTGCCCGAAATGCCTAGCCATGCTAGGCGTTCTAGTGGTACACTCTGTAATCATTATTTAACTACATGTAAACCACACAACAACCAAATTCTGTAAATTCAACATTGTAATCTTTATAGAGAATAAACTTTGAATTTGAATTTGAATTTGAATAGTGGTCCAGTAGCTGGGACAGGCAGGAGCGACCTGCGCTAAACCCGTGTTACCCTGGGTTGTGTAACTGATGGGTATCTAGGTGGTTGGCTGTCTTGCTTCTTATAACCCTATCAAAGATTTTTATGATATGGGATGTTAGTGATATCGGTCTGTAGTTCTTTGCAATTGCTTTACTGTAACCTGTGTGGAGTGGGGCCATGTCTGTTGTTTTTAGTGCGTGTGGGATGACTCCTGTGTCCATGCTCCCTCCATAAAATGCTGAAGGCACGCTATAGGGACTTCTTGCAGTTCTTGATGAACACAGAGTTCCACAAATCTGGGCCAGGGGCAAAGTGCATGGGCATGTCATTAATTTCCTCTTCAAAATCTTGTGGAGTTATAATAATATCCCAGAAATTTGGGATGGCCAAATTTTGGGTTTCGTTCATAAAGAATTCATTTGGATTGTTGACCCTTAGAGTGGGCAGTGGATCGCTGAACACTGAGTCATATTTTGACTTTAGTATCTCACTCATTTCTTGGCTATCATCTGTGTAGGTCCCATTCCGCCTAAGCAGGGGCCCAGTACTGGATGTTGTTTTTCCCTTAGATTTGGCATAAGAGAAAAAGTATTTTTTTTTTAAGTTTCCTTTATGGCTTTTAGTTCTTCCTGTGATTCTTGTCGTTTATAAGATTCCTTCAGCTTAAGTTCGATATTTGCAATTTCATTGACTAGTGCTTCCCTTCGTATTTCAGATATATTGACCCCACTCAGCTGCTCTGTGACTCTTCGCCTTCGTCTGTATAGAGAACGTTTCTCTCTTTCTAGTTTACATCTTCTCTTTCTTTTTCTTAATGGAATGTGTCTTGAGCAGATCTCAAGAGCCACAGAATTCATTTTTACAAGCAGATGTTCGGGCCCGTGTTGTTTAGGATATCTTCCCAGCTTCTTTCATTTAGGGCATGGTTTACTGGATCCCATTGTATGTTTTTGTTATTGAAATTGAATTTCGTGAAGAGACCTTCATGACTGCTCACATTTTGCTGGTCCGGAGCCCTGGGCTTACATGTCTGTACCTCTATTATGTTGTGATCTGAGTGAATTGTCTTTGATCCAGTTATATTACGTATCAGATCATCATTGTTAGTGAAGATGAGGTCCAGCGTATTTTCTAGTCCTGTAGGCTCTACTATTTGCTGGTTTAAGGTGAATGTGTTGCAGAGATTTAATAGTTCGTGTGTATGTGAATTTTCATCTGAGCTGCCTCCCGGGGTGATCTCTGCTAAAACACTGCTTGCTATACTCCTCCATTTTAGGTGTCTCAGGATGAAATCTCCTAGTAGTAAGATGTTTGGGGCAGGAGTTGGGAGATTTTCCAGACAGTGGTCAGTTTTCTTAAGCTGCTCCTGGAATTTGCTGGGAAGTTGCATTTGGAGGCTTGTATACTACCGCAATGACAAGGTTTTGGTTTTCTATCTTTACCGCCAAAGCTTTAACTACATCATTTGAGGTGTTTAGTAGTTCTGTGCGACTCTGTGACATACAGGCCAACCCCCCCTTGTTGCCTGTTTAGTCTGTCGTATCGGAATAGGTTATAACCTGGGATCCATATTTCGTTGTCATAATTATTCTTTATGTGGGTCTCTGTGAATGCTGCAAACATTGCATTTGACTCTGTGAGCAGTCCCTTGATGTAAGGAATTTTGTTGTTTTTTGACGGTTTTAGACCCTGTATGTTTGCAAAGAGAAATGTCGTATTGGTGGAATTTAGAGGGGTTTTATTTGCTGGCTCTAATATCTGTTGTTCTGGGGAAGAGGCCAATGTCCGTGCCTCTGCAACAGAAGTGTTTTCAGGTGGTGTAGGATTATTGTCATTTCTTGCCAGTTTTTTTCCCTTCTGGCCCTAAAAAAACCTCTGTCCCTGGAGAGGTTGTGGTTCCTCTCTTAAGAAGAGGATAAGTATACAAGATATGATTTGAGAAGTACAAGATATGATGTAGGGCGTAATGACCGTAGTTTGTTGGACTACATATTGGTAGATAAAAGATTGTTGAGTAGACTTCAGGATGTACATGTTTATAGAGGGGCCACAGATATATCAGATCATTTTTTTAGTTGTAGCTACAATGAGAATAAAAGGTAGATGGGATACAAGGAAAATAGAAGCAGCAAATAAGAGAGAGGTGAAGGTTTATAAACTTAAGGAGGAGGCAGTTAAAGTAAGATATAGGCGACTATTGGAGGATAGATGGGCTAGTGAGAATGTAGGCAATGGGGTAGATGTATAGGGTAGGTTTAAAAATGTAGTGTTAGTGTTCAGCAGAAGCTTGTGGTTACAGGAGAGTGGATGCGGGAGGGAAGTTAGTTTAATATGTTTATTATGCACCCCATACCCATCCTGTGGGCGGTAGTCAAAAGATTACAGAGGTACATAATTGGTCCAGGGACTGGACTCCAAAGTTTTGATAGCTGAGCAAGTTAGAGGTAATGAACTCACAATTTACAAAGGTAATGAACTCACAATTTACAAAGGTAATGAACTCACAATTTACAAAGGTAATGAACTCACAATTTACAAAGGTAATGAACTCCAGGTAAGTCTGGTCACAATCTTTTCTCTTTAGTCACTCGCTTTGTACTTTGTATATATGTAACAATGTGGCAACAGGTGCCCACTAGGCCTCAACGAACTGGCACTTGTGTGTGTGTGTGTGTGTGTGTGTGTGTGTGTGTGTGTGTGTGTGTGTGTGTGTGCGTGTGTGCGTGCGTGTGTGTGGTGTGTGTGAGGTGTGTGTGCGGGTGTGTGTGAGGGTGTGTGTGTGTGTGTGCGTGTGTGTGTGTGTGTGTGTGTGGTGCGTGTGTGTGGGTGTGTGTGTGTGTGTGTGTGTGTGCGTGTGTGGGTGTGTGTGTGCGTGTGTGGGTGTGTGGGTGTGTGTG